TGGTCCGATGATCACAGAGCGAGAGACAAGAAAGGCAAGGCTCACCAAGCCATCCATCTCTCCGCTCCTCAGTCAATCCCACCTGCGTTTATCAGCCAGGCTGGCACAATAAACTGTCTCACAGACACCATATAATTTCTTCACTATACTTTGCTATAGCTCCCATATCTTCAGTCATTTCTTCATGCGGGCAAGTATCAAGTAAGGCCATGTCATCAGAGCTAATTTTTCTTAGGTTGCGGCTATGAGTAATTGTGAACTGAAAATCCATTCATGTATCTATGGTTTGTATATGTCCCTTGTCCAATTTTAAAAACTTTTTTATGGAAAACATTATAAACCATCTGCATGGGGCATATGTAATCCTATCAATAGTACAGCTAGTTTAGGCAGTGGCATAAAATTTTAAATAGTGATGTACAAAGGAAAGTATATATTTATGTGTGCGATAACTTTCTAGGCAAAAATGCATGTATTGCTGACCTGTACTGAAACAAAACTCAAGTGACTGGACACTATTTACACAAATAATGAGGGTTGGAGAGGGGGCAACATTTCAATAATGGTCATTCGCACAGGCAGAACCAAGTCTGCTAGACCAAGACATAGGAAACGCAAAGAGAGCATGAAGATAGCAAATATATGGTCACCCGGAGTCAAGATTCCTTGAGTGCCCTTCAAAGCAAGAGATCTGGGCCAAATCCCAATGACTTCCAAGCCAATAACCTTGGGATAGCAGTCATCTGGTTCTTCTCACACTAGGGTGTTTCAGCTTTAAGTCCAAGACAATATTTAAATTCCTGAAATCTGCTCTAGAGGAGTTTAGAGTCCAGTTTGCTTAGTGGGGTTTCCAAATCAGAACCTTCTTGTGTGGCCTTTGAAGAATGTTGTATACCTCAAAAGGGCAGTCTCAAGTCCTGGATGTCTATAGAACGTGGCCCGAGTCACCAAGGCTGGATAGAAACTAGGCAGAAATGCCCAATTAAGAACATAATACTGGGTATAATCTCCCTTTGGGAGTCTATATAAGTAATGCTAATTATTTCCCCCCCACCAACAGACATATAACAATCTTCTCAAAGATGGGTCTGTCCCGATCCTACTTCTGGGCTTGGATTTCCATTAAGATTCACGAAACAACCTTTTTGAAGTTTCTGTTGATTTGGGGTGACCTTAGAACTGTTTCATGGTAGGAAATTGATTGGTCTTCTCCTTTTGTCACCAACATAAGAAACGGGCCTCAGCTGAAGTAAGCCATCCTCTGGCAACGTGGTTATTGAAATAGAGAAATAAGGGAGTGATAAATGAATCATGAGTATTAAGTAGGCAGACTGCCTCATTAATTGGGAGACAAGATTAGAAGATTCCATGACCTAAGAACAGATGCCTGCCTGTATTAGTCTGGGTACTTTGAAGAAACAAATCCACAGCAACTCATGTATAAGAGAATATACATGAGTTTTATGTAAAGAAAGTGTGCATCACGAAAACATCCCAACCCAATTCTGCCCAAGCCCACAAGTCCAACACTAACCCATTAACCCAACACCAGTCCACAAAGTCCTCCACCTCACAAAACAGAGGCAATGATGCCGACTGCAGGAGGAAAGCTGAGTCAGTGAACGAATAAGCATCTCAGCACTAGCAGGGGTCTCCACACGGCTGCTCCAGCACCCAGGGCTGCATCGGGATAGGTCCATATGGCTTCTCCTTGGGGATGTCTTGTAGGAAGTCAATCTTGCAAGCTGAAGCAGGGAACTGCTAGGGCAGCTGCACCCTGGTGTGACCATCACAAAGCAAGAGACCCGAGAACTAGAAAGGCGAGGATCACCACCCATTTATCCTTCCACTTTTCAATTAGCCCCACATGTGATTATCAGCCAGGTTGGCACAATTAACTAACTCACTGCCTTTGCCCTGGTGTGGGGCAGGTAACATTTTATTTTTCGGTACATGGATTTGCTATGAGTTGGAGCTAACTTAAAAGCAACTAAAAACCACTTTCCATTAGGTAAAAGCCTAGACTCAAGGAGAACAATGATGGATAAATTCGTCTGCAGCCCTAAAAGATGTGTTTATTGTTTAAGAGAGAAATCCAACAAGGAGCGAATTATTCTGATAGTACAGGATTTCTCAACCTCGGCACTACTGATATTTTTTGCTACGTAATTCTTTGTTGTGCTGCTGTCCTGTATATTGTAGCAAGTTAGCAACATCCCTGCCTCTACCAATAAAAAGCACTATTCTCTTCACAGTTGGGATAGCCAAATAGGTCTCCAGTCATTGCAAAAAGTTTCTTCAGGAGTTAACTTTCCCCACTTTTGCCCTATGGAATAGGAGGATTTGTGTCATAGGTAAGTCCAAAGGGCTCCAAAAGTCCAAGAATGTACATCCAATCTTGGAGCCAGGTGAAATGGTTAAGGAAGGATTCCTTCCCCTGAGTGAGTGAGTGACAATGTGTCTGTTTGAAAGCACACGGGTGCATGCCGGGAGAAGTAGGGGGACTTGCAGGACGAAAGAAGGGGCATGAGAATATCCGAGGAGACCTCGTGGTGGAGTGGTTCTGTGTTTCCAATCACCAGCTCTCACCTCGTGAGGAAAATGGGATTTTCTACTCCCACCAGCAGTGACAGTCTCAGAAACTCGCATGGACAGCCCTACTCTGTCCTATAGCTCGGAGTCAGTACTGACTCAATGGCACTGGATTTGAATTGTTTGACTTTATTATAAGATCAAAGATGTGATGCTGGAGCAGAAGAGAGTTTGAATGGTGAGCTATGAGAGTAGTGATGCAGGCACGTGAACACTTGTGACCCGCCTGAGCACGGACAGTCGGGGCATGGGCATGTCACTAGTAGGCTTGGGTTTTTTTCATGGACTCTTTAAAAAAAATCATTTTACTGGGGGCTTGTGCAACTCTTATCATAATCAATGGGTGACCAGATTTTAACATTGGTAAAGTGGGACAAAAGCGGGACACCATTGATAAAACTCATATCCTGGTGAAATAGCCACATGGCAGTCGAAAACCATATACCCTAGCTTGTCGTGCATTCTTTCCAAAAATCAGGACTTTTTAAAAATGCCGCGGGACATGGGAAAAATTGTTAAAAATCAGGACTGTCCCGCCAAAAGTGGGCCGTCTGGTCACCTTATAAGTAATCGATTGTGTCAAGCACATCTGTATATTTGTTGCCATCATCACTTTCAAAACATTTTCTTTCTACTTGAGCCCTTGGGATCAGCTTCTCATTTTTCCTTTCCCTCTTCCTCCCTCCCTCATGAACCCTTGATAATTTATACATTATTATCTTTTCATGTCTTACACTGACTGATGTCTCCCTTCACCTACTTTTCTGTTGTCCATCCTCCTGGGAAGGGGTTATAGGTGGATCATTGTGAGGTTTTTAAACACTGGGGTGGTAGAAAAAATATCTAGGCTCTTCTGGCAACAATGTTGAGGACAGCTTACCATTAACCCCTGGAATGGCGATGG